CATTGAGACATTGCTGTCAGCAATGATGAGATTCTAACATACAGTAGATGCACAAACTAAATGAGTCTTATCTAAAATAGTGTTTCCAAAATTTCTAACACATTCTGCTAGTGTTTTCTTTTTTAATTAAACCTGAAAACCTTGACTAAAACCACGTGTGTTTGTAATTTTTTTAAGTGGATGGACATTAAGGGCTACCAGATGTAGTTCACTGGGTTATAAAACAGAATTGTGAGAATCAACGATTAGAAATATGAAAATAGCACTTAATGTTTCAAGATATACATGGAGCCTCTTTTCTGACCTGCTGGATGTCTCTGCAAGTAAAATTTAAATTGTTTAAAAAGAACTGTATTTTTAATGCATTCAGCATTTGGATCCACGTACCTCTATGAACAAGTATTTTCACACGGGTCACTTTTCACAAGTAAAGCCCGTGTACTGCTTTGACTGTCAAAAACAGTCCTTGGCATTGGGACACTCAATAAGGGCATCGATCACACTGAACTGGTAAGGGTCTTGCTTTTAAATGAAGCTTCTTAACACAGAGACAAGTTTAATATTAACACACATAGCAAAACGTTACACATTTTTACAATGACTTGGCAGAGGACTTCTTGTTGGCTTGTTAGCCTGTTGTGCAGGGTGATGTCTTCTCCTCGGCTATTGTACATCTCAGGTGCTTATCTGTAATCCCCTGTTTACTGTGACATTCCAGGAGTGCAGGCGGGTAGTTCAGCTGCACAGGCCACCACAGTGATGCATGTGTGTGTGTTTTATGACTTGAGTTTCGCCTGGCCAGCAGAATGTTAAGCGCAGGCTGAATTGGCAGGTGACAGAAATAGGTTTGCCTTAAAGGCCACTTTGGAGTGATTTCCAGCCCCAGTCCAAAAATAGGGACAAGCTGCCTGACCTCTGGCTCCTAAGAGTGTGTGATCCTTAAATCTCCATTGATTTATTTTGGGGAATCCAGGGATCCATGCCTTGTCTGTACTGAGTGTTTTTGACTTTGGAATTGCTTTTCTCTTAAAAACGTAAAGAGCACTTATATAAATATACAGAATTGAAGTTAAAGAATATTGATTAAAATCCTATACTCCCTTCCCTTATAAAATGTTTATTCTATTCACATGCTTGATTAGGTCATTTTTCTCTTAATTTATTTTTTCTCAAGCAAAACAAAATAATAAACTCAAAATGTTTTGCTTTGTTAGTGGTTTGAGAACTAGAAACACACATTAGCTTTTGAAATCTGAAGGTAGCTTTCATTGGTTTCATTAGTAGAGATTGTAACTTGTATACCTAAATATATATATATATGCGTTTATATCTGTATATTGTATATGTCATCTATGTGTATGTAAATATGATTATTAAGTTCACCACAAGAAAACCAGCAAAGAATTATGTTATGTATATAATGCTAAAACAGTGCTGTACAGTTCTGGTAGCACAGTGTCAGACATAAGCCTTCTACTAGGCAGAGTGTAAGGAGTGAGATAGTAGGCTTCGGTGTCTTCCACAGTGGCAAAAGGCTAGCACAACTATAAATTACATTAAGTGCTTTGTTATTTATTTTGTCTTGGGATCTTCATCAGCTTATATCTAGGATGCACATTATGGTGTTTTACACAATAAGAGGTGATGGGGTCTCCTTCATCCAGGTCCGTCCGGCCTGTTTATTTTAGGAGCTGCGTACATGTATCTTCTGGTGGTATGTATTAAAGTTGCTGTATTGCCTCCTATGTGAAATCTGTGCACCACATTATTTTCTATCAACTCTCGCATTACTGTTTTCAGGGACTTTCAAATATCTTTTGAGATGTTTTATAGCAGGTTGACAATACTGCGCTGCACACTACAGAAAATGCAGTGGGCCTCACCCTTACTTTGTTGTGATGGTCTATGCAACGGCAAGCTAAAATATTGCTGCACAACAAATTGAAGGTGTCGTTTAATTTTCAGTACCAAACCCATTGTGCTGAGGTCCTCATCTTTTCCAGACAACTTCATCACACGTCTTTCAGTATACCCCACCTCTATTGTCATCTTTTTTTGCTCACTTTTACATCTCTGTGCATCTGCAGTCAAACATTTCTGAGGTCTCGGCGCTTCTGTCCTGTTAAACCAAAGAAAGGTTTGGCTGCTCTCCAGCGGATGACCTACATGTGTAATGAGGGGGAGACCTCATGAATCTGCTATCCATGCAGAGGGAGGGCTGCTTCCAGCCCTGGAGGGGTGAGGCAGGCCTTGGCTGGGCCCTGCTGATAGATGGTGTGTTTCTGCTGTGTAGCCATTGAGAGCTCTTTTCTCGTATTGTTAGCTGACTTCATCGGCAATTTGTAACTGTTATCTGGATTCTGTTACTCACTCTTCTGGCTGAGCTTAATGTAGGAGGCTCTTAAGGTTCCAGTTTACTGTTTTATGATCAGACTTTTATAAGGATCTCTGGACAAAAGCACATCTGTTCTCTTCTTTGTGTGTTCTGGGCTGTGAGTAACTCTTCATAGTGCACATCTCACTGTACTGATTGTATTGTATGTATTGTATTATTATTATTGTATCATTTGTTACACTGTTGCTGTGTTGTCTGTGTTAAGCTGCTGTTGCACTGCAATGTCCCTCACGGGATCAATAAATAAAATCCATCTCAGGCAATTCAGTATCAACCCTTTATTTTGATAGTGCTAAAATGTTTTCATGGCTGCTAATATTGATGACTCAGGACTGTTGTTAAAAATAGTCCTTCATATTTACTTATTTGGTGTTACGACCCCAAGTGTCTAGGGGTAAAGGGGTGTAACATTTCGGATAATTTTTGGATGCAGGTGGGACTAGTGACTAGTTCTGGTGAGGGACTAGGAAGCGTGATAACAAGTGCTGTTGCAAAAGTGATGATTTTAAGGTGAATAAGTGACTGGTACATAATAAGACACAATAACACACAGTGAAAAGGAACTACAGTGGTGTTAAAGAAAAGAAAACAACAAACAAAATGAAACTGGCTAAGAAAGTGAGGGAAACTGACCTAACTACAAAAGAAAACCCGAAACACACAGACTTTGGCGTCTTCAAACACCCTAGCTAACCTTCACTGATACAAGACATACGGCACTCACCAGTACTAACAATACAGTACTAACCAGTTACTAATACAAAATCAACTACGTGTGCAAAATGTACCCAACAACCTAAACTAACCCTTAAGACAAAAGTTCACACAAATACACAAGTGAACTAGGAATACAAATAAGGGAAAACGAGAGTAATCAACAGGAACAGAGTACAAAAAGTTGAACATAACACATTAGGGCAAGGTAATGGCAAAACATGGATAAACACACAAACGAAGGAAAGGAGACAAACAGAAACCAACAAAAGCCGAAGCTATACCAAAAGTGAAATGAAGCAAAGCAAAACCAAGCGGGACCAAAGTCAAACAAAAGGCCTCTTCCTTCTGTAAACCTCCATGTTATATACTGAATAAGATGAGTTCTGATTGGTCGAGAAGCTGATTGAAAATGATGTCACAGAAACAATGATATAATGATGGGCCAATGGGGGAGGGAGAACAATAAAAGTCAGGAAGTGTGGTACAGCAACAAAACACACTGGGACACATTTGGCATTTTCTAAAAGGTACTCGTCTTTTTCACAAACGGTATATGTCATGTTTAAAGATTTGTCCTTGTGCTTGCCACCTGAAAATCATTCAACCCTGTGAAGATTTTGAATTCTGCTACTGTATTTCAGTTTTTTTTTATTTTGACTTAATCATTCTTCTGCTACACATTAGAAATTAAGGTAGTTCTTCCATCAAGATGGACGCTTCACCTGAATGCATCTTGCTTACATTGTATGCTTAAGAACGCGATTAAGTTGACAGTCCAAAGATTTCTTAAAGAGGATAATAATGCTTATCTAAGATTAAACTGGATTAGCCCGTTCTAAAAGTCATAAGCAGGAGTGGTGTTCAAACTTGCAAGCTTTTCATGTGAAAAGAATTCAGCTGTTTCTCAGGACTGTATTGCTCTATTTTACTTTTTGGGATTTAGTATGTACAGTATGTGCCTATGTTGTGTCAGCGTTGTCATGACAAAATATTTTATCTGCTGTACTGTAGATGTTTCACCTGCAAGTACAGAAAACCGATCAGAAATAAAATGATGGTGCAAATAAAAATTCATCTGTAGTGCTCCCAGAGGAGCTCTGGACCAATTTGCATACTGGTCATGCACTAGAGGATCAGTTACATGTGAACTGTCACTTTGGACAAAAGTGGATCCCATCTGTTCAAGTGGAGAATACATAGTAAAAGTTCTGTGTGGTTTAAAATGTTTGGGTAGAATTCTGTACATCTTTTACAGGCAGGAGATGGAAAATCAGAATGTATTAGAATGATTAGATATAATATCACACAGCAGATGAGTTATAATCATGGTTCTTCAATCAGTGCAGTATCTTCCCTTGAGCACATAGGCTCGGATCCTCTATAGAACATTTTTCACTTTTTAATGCTCGAGGCAGCTGCAGCCAGCTGCATACAGCTGTTACTGCATGCCTACACAAAACTTAGTGTAGTCTGAATCTTAGAAATTACACAATGGACTAGGTTTTGGAGGGTTTGAAACTATTCTTAGATAGGTCTGTATCTGTGTCTTCACGTGCCTTTCGCAACATCCTTCATCTGTGTAGGCTTTCAGACAGTAGGCTGGGGTTTAGTGATGTATATGCTACTGTTTGATTTTTATTGGTTAAACTGTGGCATTGAAGAGTGCAAGTTTGCGCACAGATGGCTGATGTAGCAACATGTACATATCAACCTGCAAATATGACAACTCTGTAAATTTATTTTAAAAGATTGCTCCACTTCAAGTCATGCTTGAAGCAAAGTGTTTTGGTGCTGAGTACTGCGCACAAGCACCTCATGTGTGCAAGTGTGTGGCCCTCTGGATGGCAATGATGCGTGCTTCATGGCTGCTCTGTGCTTCTCCTCGCAGGGTCATGAGTGGAATAAGAATGATGACCGCCTCCTGAATGCTGTGGAACATGGGGAGGTGGACAAGGTCACCTCCCTGCTGGGCAAGAAGGGAGTCAATGCTGTAAAACTGGACAGCGAGGGAAAGTCAGCGTGAGTATTGTTCTGCTGCTTCTACTCTGTAGGCATTACATAGGCTTTAAAGCACTATAAGAAAGTCTACAACAAAATACTATAAGAAAGGCTATGATCAGTTTTTAGCCTCCCTAGTACTGTATATTCAAATCAAGATTCATTGACTATCAGATTCACATTTGTCTTTCGAGGAAAACTGCAGCTTAAGTCTTCTTAAGTCATACTGTATCTTCCAATTGGATATTGTACTGAATGATTGGAAAAACTCCACATCTAAATCTAAATTACTTATTTCATTTCTGCGAACGATTAACAAGCACCACAAAGACTCTTGATGAAAGGGTTAGCCATGCTAACAGTTACTGGACTATTACTATGCAAGATCACAGCTCTGCTGTTAGCTGCTCTTCCATAGCTAGAGATATGACATTTATCCATAAGTGGAAAAACAAGCAAAGGGGTCAAGGCCAGGGGTTTCAATCTTAGTTCCTGGGAGGCCCCGTGTCTTGTGGTTGTCATCCAGCCCTGGCCTGATGAATCCCAAGGCTCAAGTAAGGAAATCACATTGTAAAAGGATAACCTTTGTAAAACCCCTGACGTATTGTGAATATGTTGCATGACTGGGTTTTATTTGATGCACTTGCTTATCAGAAATACACGGGGGATTAATCTTGCTGTGCATGAGCATTATATACGGTTTAGTGAAAAATTATTTTGGTGCCAGATTTTCAATAACCATTCCAGGCTGTCAGATCTTGAATTGGATGTCCACATGCTTGTTGGACATTTTCCATTTAGAGAAGTCAAGGCCCACGTAAAAGATTTATAGATAAAAGTCTGGTTTGAAAAGTTGTTTGAAAAAATGCATGGATTTTATTGGTAATGTATCCTTCCTGTGCCAGTTGCTTTCCGGGATAGGCTCTTTACTAATCTAAATTGGATAAACCGGTTAGAAAGTAGATGGAAGGATGATTTTAATAATTTTGTCGGTTAGATCAGAGGGGATAAAGGGGAAATGCAGCACTATTTTTACATTTCAGGGTTATAAAGAATCGGCATTGATGACTGCTTTTCAAACCATAATGAAAGTACAAAGTGCACAGTAATGTACAAAACCTCCAATTTCCATTAAAAAACACATGAAATTTCCAGGTACATGTCGTGCCATATTGACGCCGTTGTCTACAGTTTAGAATGAGGCAACAAAACCTCTGGTGACGTGAAGCAGCCGTATTACATGGTAATCGATCGTGCCCATGCATACTGTATATCTCTTTGAATCGGATATAAATATTGCTCTTTGTCATAAACATATTTAATGCACATCTTTACTTAGGTCTTAACCATAATTATGATAAAAAGGACCAGGTACATTTTTTTCCATTTTTCTATTAAGGACTGATATTAATTACCCTCTCATACGTTCTTTCATCAGTTGCTTGTAATTGTCAAAAATGGTAGGAATGGCTCCCGGTTCGAGCACTATCTTTGGTTTAGTATCTGAACTGAGAATATATTTCATATTATAACCTGTCAGGCTTCATAGTCATGTTGAATCCAAAGCAGAGAAAATTTTAATACTCATGACTTATCCCAGATTGACAATATTTGAAAATCATTCTATTTCTGTTGCAATAAAGCTAATGCTTTAGACCAAGCAAATTTTGCTACTGTATTAATTTATGTATAATTTTATTAAACCGATCCATACAAGGCAACATGATTTGTAGATACTTTATCTACACTGAAGATTTGAATGAGTGCAATTGAATTGAATTCAATATATTGACT